TTACAGGTGAATTGCCCCCTAGGCTGGGAGTGCCTCCCATCCAACTCTGCTTTCACACTGCAACCAGCAGTGTCCTCCATGGTGTGTCTCTCTGCCCAGAGATTCTCTGAAATGCTATTCTGTAAATTGTAAGGGCCCACAGAGCCTTTCACATTTGGGGTCTGACTACTGACCTGACTCCATTTTAGCACAAGACCTGCTGAAACACCTTCTCAAGCTTGGGATTCAGTCATAGTTCAGGTGAGGCCTGCTGTGCCCCCCCACCACTGTCACCCCCAGCTGATGGGGAATGTTGGTCACTTGCCCACTCTCTCTGAAGGAGTATGTGAGTTAAGTCATCTGGGGTCTCAGAAATCCAGGGCCATACTGAGTCGGAGATTGATGCCGCTGGGAGGTCTCTGAATTGTCACCCTTCACACAATAGAGTGCCGGTTCACCCTGACACCATTAACCCCCCAGAGAAACTTTAAGAGTCAAGGAGAGGTCCTTGGCCTGGACCGAGGGGTCCTGGGCCTGGGAAAGACATTACAGGAAGGGCAAAATGTGATAAACGCTCTCCAGAGAGAATTCGAAACTATACAGCAAGAACAGGAGAGCCTGGTGAGATTTAGGGGGACTTCTCACATGTTTTCAACTCATGATCAGCAAGTATAAACAAACAAATAAATAAACAGCAAAATCATCAACTCGGCATTTTTAATGACCACAAAACCCATTTAATACCTCTAGGGACTCTGTGGTAAGCATTACTCTGTATCATCTCCGTTCATGCTTATGGTAACCTGAGGAGGCAAGTACATGTGTGTCTCAGAAGCCAAAAACCTTACCCAAGGACACACAGCTAGTAAGTAGCAGAGGCAAGATTGGAACCCAGGTGTGTGCAATTCAGTAGCCTGCGTGTCCTTATCCACCACAGCACTAAAGAATGGCATGACATTTATTTGGCAATGGGGTCAGATGAACAGATATTCATTAAAGGGATTCTATAAATAGAGATTTTTAGGGAAATTTAACTTTATTCTTGCCAGCTAAT